ATATATATACATACATATATATATATATATATATATATATATATATATATATAACTTGGAAGAAAACATAATGAATGAAATGTTCTGCATCGATAAATGTTACATATGATTTGCAGTTCCAGAAAAACCCAAAGGTAAAAGGTGGATAGATCATTAAGTGATGTACTATCAAGTAAGAAGAATGAACACAAACGAACGTTGATTTGTCGAATAAGATGCAGCGCTTTAACAATGACGATGTATCCCAACTGAATGCAGCGATTGAATTCGACTTATTGTTGTCAGAAGAGTGATCCAAACTTGTTGATAAATCATCCTTTACCAACGCCATCCGATTTATTTGAGCAATTAGATACCTGACTGATGAGTAGATGGATGGATGGGCGATGACCGATCGTTTGGCACCACGAAATCACAACCTCTTCAGGTTTTTAATCACCAATTAATATGTCTGCATTATGTTTACTTTCACTAACGAAATATATTCAACCATTTTCATCCGCGCGTTGTTTGCAGACAACACATTGAGAAAGTCGCAAATAAAACTGGTTTCATTTTCAACTTTGGCGGTTCATTGCAACATATCGCACAGAGTACAGGAAATGATTAGTTCGTAGTGGTCAGTTGTTACCAAAATCATTGCAGCTCACATTTGTAATCGGGCATATATGTTCGCTACTCTCGCAGCAGTCTCCGCTGATCAGATTCTAGGTTCAAACTCACATTACATTTGACATCGCAGACTCTGGCACTGCGTTGATGGAAATTTGATCAATTATTAGCATAACTAAACTACAACTTCACATAATTCAACTGACAATAAAAGGAGATTGATTCATCCGTAAGTGAATCGTTTCACGAATACAAGCGAATGCTGTTCATAGATACCAAAAAACTTCTTTCGCACGTTTTCACGTAAATCAGCTAGTGGAAGATTGGTCAACGCTGCAAACATATGTATACCTTTAACGTAAACAACTGCCATTTAATAAAAATACGAGAAGCGCTTGTTGTGCACATTGTTTTGCCGAAAGCCGAATAGTCGTTTCCGTTTACAACGCAAAATGCGGTTGAACAAGGCACGATCATGAATGAGTCTGGTTCCCATGAACAGCAAAAACCAACGGTCGTACGGAATAGCGATGAACTATGTTGTTGTACCCGAGGTATACCAAGGGCATTTTTAAACAATACTTCATCAATGGGACGACCGCTCAGCGATTTAAACTTCGCGACCTTTACTGCATAATCATAGTCGAAATTTGGACGACATTCTCACGGATATATAGGAGAGGATACTTGTGAAACTTTTGAAATTTGATTGGAACAATTGGAATTTGGAATCAGCCGTTGAAACACTGCAGAACAATTGAAAACTGGACTACAATAAAGTATTTACTCCAAATTACGCAAATGCTTAAACATCGCACAATCAACACGACATTCGCAAACGGATTCAAAAAAGTGAAACAAAAATCAAATTTGTCAATTAATCAGATATTCTACAATCACGTTGATAATTTCTTTGAAAACATATGACTTAATGTAACCCTCCACACAATTTGTGAAAAAATCAGTCATAAGTATTTTGTTATTGTTTTCGTGGCGCCATTCCAAATCAAAGAATACGATAGCAGTGGGTTCGCCTTAAGACTCCACTCGTATTGTTGCATTTTACAGCCGCACTCGAACCTTCCCTACTGAATACATTCGCTCCCAACAAGTCTCACGTAGATAAAATTAGAAAGAATTCCGTTTCATCAGCAAATGTTTTGTTGGATGCGCGGTCAAACGAAAGTCCGATGCGAATTGATGGCCTAGAATTGACATCTTAAGCTGAGAGAACATAAAACTGATCTAAAAATGATCAAGTAATGCTAGTGAATTATCACAGTAGTTCATCACCACTGATTACACAATAACACAAACATCTGATTAAATCATGCGCCAATACAGTGCAATATGATTGTTCAAAAGTCCTCAGAAAAGACACAAAACTATACAATAAAACTAATTGACGGCTAAGAAAAAATTTTCGGAAAAGACTTCATTTGTTTCAATAATAATACAACAGAAAAGAATAATTAAAAAAACATACAGAACAGCAATCAGCAAACGAATTCAAAGGCACTGTGTCATCGGCGCTACGAACGTTTGACAGCTCGACCAACCTAATCTACTTACGTAATCTAACAATAAGTAATTTATTCAACAAAAAATTATCTCACTTGAGAAAAAGGAAATATCAAAAAAACAATGAGTCAAAATCTGACGAATATCACAAGAGCAAACAAACGCTGAAACTGATCGACGAAAAAGAGATTGAAATGCTGGCAATGATGTAGGTTAAGAGAATTCAAATATCACAGAACCCCGACAATCAAATTATATTCTTAAATACAATGAAATGAACAGATATGAATTCAAATAACTGTACAATATGAAAAATTCCAAAAGCAACAAATTGATTTTATCGAAGCAAGCTTTGAACCAACATTTTAATGAGGCGAATGGATCAACGAGATCCACAAAGCTCTCATTTCATTACATAATTTACTTCAACATACATACAGACTGGATGTGATTAAGAATTCCAATCACATTCTGATCTGACAGCTGTGCTGAAAGTTTCGAGAATTCCGAATCATCGGGAAGAACATAATTTAAATAAAGATGTAATAATTTTAAGCGAACTTCTCGAAAAAACGTGAACTTATCAGCTACTATTATTGCATTTACATAAATACATTACTCGTACATCTAAAATGAACATCACAGCACAGAACGCACCTAATCCCTTCAACTTCATAACAACACAGGTTAATAAACTACAAAGATTATCACTCTCTGAACATATTTTTAGAACATTTAACCACACAAGAAGAGAATTGCGCATTCTAAGGATCATCAATAGTGTAAAAATGTGAACACTGTTCAATCATATGAAATTAATCTGAATATGACAATATTAACAGACTCAATCAAATATGAGCATTCCCAACACATCGACAAACTACTCGGCTCCTCTCATAAATTCCCCCTCCATCCTGAAGTGGTGAAATTTAGTATAAGGTTGATTGCTTTGTGCATGATTCAGGACTGAATTTTTTGGTATTTTATATTTAACTCCCGTATCTCATCACTTATACTACATATTATCTCAAGTGAATGCATGTAAAGCAAACCTAACATTAATGAGATAAGCGAACAACACAATATAACTCAAGTGAACATATCTTCATTCGGTGCACTGTCATCTCGAGTGACACTTTCCGAGGTATTTGCTTTAAATGAAAGAGCGCAAATAGCTGACGAGTCGAAATAGCTTGTAATTGAACTCGCCGAATCCACTGACGCATCACTGAAATACATTACAGAATGTATTCGGCATATTTGACTGTTGTCTGTTCAACTGAATCTATTTGGCTCCATGTTTGATTCTAATATCTCCATTATTTACGCACACAATGCATTAATACGCAAAGAATAAGGACGAACGATGAATTTAAACGATGTCCACACGATGAATGATGAAATTCGCAACAATGTTGCAAGCCTGGCTAACAGAAGGAACTGATTTCATATCCAACATTCATCATCAGCTTATTCACAATTAGCAAAAAAAACAACTGACGAATCCTTCCACTTTCATCTCTCGACTGATCGCAGATGGTCATGAAGCACCCAGACTTGAGTTGGACTGTAATGGTTGAGTGCCGAATAAGTGGTTCTCACGCTCTCGCGCTCCGTGCCACTCCCCTTTGGCCAAGCAATTCCCCTCCTAACAATGCAAGTAGTCGGAAATTCACTGACATTGCTAAATTCCCTTCCTCTGCCCCGCCAACAAGGAATTCTCCCTCCCCTTATAGCAACTATTGCACTAGATCATGAGTATGTTCTAATTCAACGGAAAAAATAACTCCAGATTGCCATCAACACTCAGATAAAAACTTAGCTTTCCACATGACTAATTCTTTCGTTTACCACATTTCATGAACAAACCGAACATTTTTTTTCCGCAAGAAATCGACTATTTTCATACGAAAAAGAAGTTTTGAAGAAAAATATATATATGCGATGAACCAAAAAAAAGAAATAAATATTACTTTGGATATTTGGTTGGAATGTCGATGTGATTAGTTAACGATAGCACTCGTCTGTTGTTCGATTCTCGCTTCACACGTTGTGTCATCGATTTAAAAACTAATTCGGCTGATTTGACATGCGGCACTGAGAATGATGGAATTATTAAAGATTCATTCGGTAGAATAATACCACAGTCGGATCTGAAATTTCACAGCTCCTCCATTCAGAGCACTTTAAAACCACCCATTAATTTGAATAATTTCAAGCTTCCATCTATACACTTGACATTATAGCAATGAAATTAACGTAAAAAATATTGTTGGGAAGTGCGATTCAACAAGATTATATAAATGATTAAGAGCTAACATGGAGAGATGCAATAACAGATCGTGTAGATTGTTCAGTGTCTTTTCACGATTATTCGTCACCAGACCAAAATCACTCCTCAGTTGATTGATATTTCCATTCAAATGTTGAATGGCTTCTTCTAATTTATCACGATTCTTCGACAGTGAATATAGTGGATATCTTGAATAATCTCACTTACATATCGATAACTTTGATTTCGTTCATTCACATACTGATTTCAACAACACAAATGCCTTACAAAACTCAATTCATTTACGCCATGAGTTCCAGTCGATTAAAATTTCTAATTGTAAGAAAGAAGAAGATGAAGGGAAATTATTGAGGAAACAGAATGAATATCCATTCTCACATAGCGGCACTGAGAGGATGCATAATGGTTGATCGCGATGCGGCAAAACTGACAGGGAACTTTAGAGGTATATTGAGTATTTGCGATATTAATATTAGAACATGGACGACGTAACCCAATGCTGATGATACCTCGGTATCTGGATGACCTGAAATATTTCAATTTCACTCGAACTTAAACTATATTAATGCTTAAATCTATAACTACATATGACTATTCGTTCTCACCAACTATTCAAATCAACATCGTCACTGAACTTCCTAGTCGCACAAATTTTTTTTAAATCCTAAATTTTCAAGAAGACTAGATCAGTCAAAAGATGGATACAACTCAAATCAATGCGATGAAAAAACAAGTCGTCCAAAATGCGAATGAATAAAACAATCAATAAGACAAAATTAATCAAGGGTGATTGAAAAGCAACCTAATAATGCGATAGCATCAGGTAAATGAAGACCTGCAATAGTAACTGCTGTGCTGCATATACACGGTAATGGCAACAAACGATTTTGCGGGTTTCCATTAACGTCAATCAGATAAATATTCATTATATCATTTAGCATCTTACGCTGCCGCAGCACCAACTGCGATACTGTGTAACTAATTGCTTGCCTGAAAATTATTCATTTTGAGTGTTTGTTTCGTTCAGATNGATTATTATTTTCTATATTAGTGTACCATCATTTTATGCTCATATTTGTCTTTATTTTGTTCATTTATTCTTTTGAAAAATTTTTCTCGATACGTCATCGCTCAAGTGTTAAACTTTCATCGGATAAGACCGATTGAATTAACCGTCATTGATCAAGTTATCTATAGGTTCATTATACATTGAATTGAATGCTGCATCTCAAATTTACGACACTGCATCGTTAAACCTCGCAACATCACGTTAAATTATTTATCCTCAACCAGTTTTAGAACGTTTTAATTCAAACGTTCAGAACAAATCATGAAAGTGATCAAAACTAGTGAGTGACCTCTGGATTGAAAGTGCTTCTGTGCGCTTCTCTATATCTTTTTCCATTTCACTTACTTCGTCGGCACGTTTCTCGTAGTCTCTTTCTGAAGCAACCATCAAAGATTATTGCCGTTTCGTTCAACAGATTGGTTTTATGTCAAACGGCGACTGATCACCATTATTTTGTTTTTTTTTTTTGTTATTTTGGTCTGATTATTTTCAATCTTCGAAAAACTGAATTACAATGAAGTATTGTGGTACTACTTTTGCCTCTGAGAAGATCATTTGTAAACATTACCGGTTAAACAAACGAATGTAGAATAAGACAAAATATAACAGTTTTAAACGAACAGATACAGTATTTAAAAAAAAACCTCGGATGCGTTTATCATCGTTAACCCGAGAAAGTTTCATGCTGATGGTCATGATGCGACATCTGGCATACTCAATACGTTTCTCTAACGACCGAAGTAAAATTTTTTGAGATTGCAACGCTGAAACCTGAATTTTGACCTCGTGAATCATTGTATTGGCACCAAGTCAGTTCTTTTCATCAGTTTTGCTTTAGAAAAGAATTCAAAAAAGCGCAATAAATCAATGAGTCCTGATAGTAGGTGCAAAGTTCATAAATTGATTTCAAAATATCATTATAATGAGCATCTGATGAGTCACATTGGGTCATACATCACTTGAAATATGACCTTGATCCACCTCACTTTGCCCTAATCTGATCATGAGTATGTGAAGCTTTGAAGCCTCAAGCGAAAATATCGAACTGCTCAGTGATGTGAACAGACGTAAGAGTGATCTATTTGATACTGATCAATCCTAAAGCGACATTTAGAGAACAGCAGTTGCAGATTAGCAGATATTCTATTAGCAGATTCCAAACAGCAGAACGGCATACAGAATCTCGATATTGCTGATCGGTATGAAGAAGACCATCCAGTTCATTCTTCTGATCGATCACCCTTTGTTGTGTTTCTTGCAGAACACGACAAACTTCTCGCAGCCTTAAATAACAGTAACGGTGATATACTGAACGATATCATCGCGGATCAATGAGGTTGTAATTAGTTGAATATAGTATCAAAAATTCAAAATCATTTCTCGTTATCAATACGTCTAAAAAGAAAAACGATCCAAAAAATGAACGATGCCATCCGTCAGTAACTCACCTGCGCCAACCTGAACGATTGTATGAACGCGCCTTTATTTTTTTGATATTTGAAGTTGAAGCTGATTTAAAAATTTCGCTGTTCGACGCACTTGATGAATGTTCATCCGACATTATTATACTCATTTGAACGAACACTTTTCTGAGATCAACATTATCAGTTCATCTCAACTTGTAATGAGAACAGTTACAACAAGAGGTTGAAAACAAACAAACTAATCGATGTCAAATCGAATGAGGCTACCTCCCCTAAACGTGCGAATATTCGTTCCGTAAACAGGTGGAGGCTGTGAGCACAACTTGTTTTTCAAACCAGTGCTACTAAGCAATCAAGCGTGTGATAAACAAATAGGTCCGCGACAAGTCTAAACTACGACAAAAATGATGAGGCACACGCAAATTGTCGCAGTGGCACCTTGTCGCGGACGTATTTATCAGTCACCATGGAACCAGTTCGCCAATTGCACACCCTTAATCGATGTGTGAGCAGACATCGAATTTAGTAGCGAGTGAGGTGAATCGCACTGACATACGAGTCTGCAAACCTTCACGAAAGTGTGAAAGTGTCAGGTCAGGGCAACTTAGCCTGGCCGAAAATCGCCGCACCAGACCAAGATTTACCCGGTCGAAGTTACATACCTGGCTCAGATTTATCGAGAAACCAGTAGTTGCTAGTATGCAATCATTTACCCTGTATTACCATCATTAATACTTGCAGTATGCAAAGTACTGAGAAGCCGTACTGAGACCATCCATACACCAATCGAACGCTCTCTCCACTCCCGATTCAATGGACGACATTGCAGAATCCAAATTTCACGATGAATGTCCCAAAATGGCAATGGAAGGAAAAGTTGAATTACCCCACTGGGTGATATATAACTTTATAAATAAGACATAGAGACACTTTGAGTGGAAAATTCAGCGGAATCGCTCAACACTCGCTCATGATATTGTGATACATTGTTCCAACGGCCCAAATCCTTATTTCAACAATCGATGAAGACGATTGCATCCAGCAGCTCAACGCTACTAGCGAAAGGATGCAAATTCAGACCTGCAAAAATTTCAAAATACAAAATAGCTCATAAATACGGTTCTGTGTGACATAGACATGAAACTTAGGTCAGCAATGTAGCGGAAGATCCCGAACAATCTCACGAAGTTTGGTAGCCGTAGCCAAAAAATCACTCGATTTTGCAATTACACTTGGGTAATTAAACCGAAGATACGATCGGCGCTCTCGACAAGTGCAAAATAATCAAGCATATTTGAGAAGATGCGATCGGATGGAAGCAGCACTAGCAGCCTGTCTCATTCCCTCTCTCGCTTTGCATTTACCGTCACAAACAAAAATTTCTCTTCTATTAATAGATGGAGGCGAAAGGCAGTAAAATATTATGCTTACAACACCCGGGATTCCCAAGCCGTCTCCGATCCAAGTACTAGCCGGGCCCAACGTTTCTTAACTTGACAGATCGGACGGGATGTCGTGCTTTCAACGTGGTATGGCCGTAAGCTTCATCATTCTCTTATGAACGCCCCATAAAAGCAATGCGCATTTCTTTCCTCCTAATTTTTTGCACTATTGCACTGCACAGCTCAACAGGCTCTGTGGCTTGAAAATAAATTTTGGAAAGCTCTGCCGATTTGGTGGAGCACTGTTGCGATCAAAAATTAGCTTGAGTAGGGTTTATGTTGTTGTTGAAAACACTTTACGCATTTTACTGTTGAGCTGTGCAGTGCAATAGTGCAAAAAATTAGGAGGAAAGAAATGCGCATTGCTTTTATGGGGCATTCATAAGAGAACAATGAATGCTTACGGCCATACCACGTTGAAAGCACGACATCCCGTCCGATCTGTCAAGTTAAGCAACGTTGGGCCCGGCTAGTACTTGGATCGGAGACGGCTTGGGAATCCCGGGTGCTGTAAGCATAATATTTTAGTGCTTTTCGCCTCCATCTATTAATAGAAGAGAAATTTTTGTTTGTGACGGTAAATGCAAAGCGAGAGAGGGAATGAAACAGGCTGCTAGTGCTGCTTGCATCCGATCGCATCTTCTCAAATATGCTTGATTATTTTGCACTTGTCGAGAGTGCCGATCTCGTCTTCGGTTTAATTACCCAAGTTTGAGGTAATTACATGTTTCAGCTCGTTGCCTCAACAGGCTCTGTGGCTTGAAAATAAATTTTGGAAAGCTCTGCCGATTTGGTGGAGCACTGTTGCGATCAAAAATTAACTTGAGTAGGGTTTATGTTGTTGTTGAAAACAGTTTACGCATTTTACTGTTGAGCTGTGCAGTGCAATAGTGCAAAAAATTAGGAGGAAAGAAATGCGCATTGCTTTTATGGGGCATTCATAAGAGAACAATGAATGCTTACGGCCATACCACGTTGAAAGCACGACATCCCGTCCGATCTGTCAAGTTAAGCAACGTTGGGCCCGGCTAGTACTTGGATCGGAGACGGCTTGGGAATCCCGGGTGCTGTAAGCATAATATTTTAGTGCTTTTCGCCTCCATCTATTAATAGAAGAGAAATTTTTGTTTGTGACGGTAAATGCAAAGCGAGAGAGGGAATGAAACAGGCTGCTAGTGCTGCTTGCATCCGATCGCATCTTCTCAAATATGCTTGATTATTTTGCACTTGTCGAGAGTGCCGATCTCGTCTTCGGTTTAATTACCCAAGTTTGAGGTAATTACATGTTTCAGCTCGTTGCCTCAACAGGCTCTGTGGCTTGAAAATAAATTTTGGAAAGCTCTGCCGATTTGGTGGAGCACTGTTGCGATCAAAAATTAACTTGAGTAGGGTTTATGTTGTTGTTGAAAACAGTTTACGCATTTTACTGTTGAGCTGTGCAGTGCAATAGTGCAAAAAATTAGGAGGAAAGAAATGCGCATTGCTTTTATGGGGCATTCATAAGAGAACAATGAATGCTTACGGCCATACCACGTTGAAAGCACGACATCCCGTCCGATCTGTCAAGTTAAGCAACGTTGGGCCC